GCTACCTGACCTAGAACCTGACCTAGTGCCTGACCTAGTGCCTGAACCACTACCTGACTTAGTGCTTGACCTAGCGCCTGACTTAGTACCCAAACTAGTACCTGACCTAGTGCCTGACCTAGCACCCGACCTAGCACCCAACCTAGTACCTGAACCACTCCCTGACCTAGTACCTGAACTAGTGCCTGAACTAGTGCCTGATCTAGTACCTGAACCACTACCTGACCTAGTACCTGACCTAGTACCTGAACCACTACCTGATCTAGTACCTGAACTAGTACCTGAACCACTACCTGATCTAGTACCTGAACTAGTACCTGAACCACTACCTGATCTAGTACCTGAACTAGTACCTGAACCACTACCTGATCTAGTACCTGACCTAGTTCCTGAACCACTACCTGACCTAGCACCTGACCTAGTTCCTGAACCACTACCCGACCTAGTACCTGACCTAGCACCTGACCTAGCTCCTGAACCACTACCTGACCTAGTACCTGACCTAGTTCCTGAACCACTACCTGACCTAGCACCTGACCTAGTTCCTGAACAGCTACCTGACCTAGCACCTGATCTAGTACCTGATCTAGTACCTGACCTAGTGCCTGACCGAGCACCTGATGTAGTACCTGAACTAGTGCCTGAATCACTACCTGATCTAGCACCCAAACTAGTGCCTGAACCAGCATCTGGACCAGAGCCTGAACTAGAACCTGAACCTTCTTGAACAAGCAGGAGCCCCAAGTGGGGTCTATATCAGAGACTTCCTGCACGATGGCACCTCCCCATGGGGCGTGGTCAACTCCCTGTGGGCGTGGTCATGCTGTAGTCCCTCCCTCCCACCATCCTGTGGGATCAGGGGCGTGTACACACAGACCCCTAACGTGTATTTCAGGCCTGAGGCCAGGATTTGAACTGCAGATGGCTGTGGGGTTAGGTCTGGCTTCCCTCATCCCCAGGTCACAGGAAGGGCAGAACCATAAGCCAAGTGTGCAGACGGGGCATCTGGAGGGCGAAAGAGGGCGTCCTGGCAGCAAGAGTGTCTGCGTGCTCCCAGAGCGAGGCCTGCGAGTCGGGGCAGGTGCAGGTCCCCAGGAAGCCAGGTGACAAGCCTGTCCTTTGCAGACAGCATGGACTGGGAAGGCGGGATTCCACAGGACGTGGGAGTCTGGGACCTCCGTCTTCAGGAACAACGTGGCCAGTTTGGGATCTGTGCTCCTCCGGAGGTGGTGTCTGGGTGGCGTTTGGGAGGAGTGACCCCACTCTGGTTGGGCCTGTGGGGCCTAGAGCCAGGAGCTGGGCCCACGTGCTGACCCCTGAGACCGCTGTGTACTGTGGCAGGAGTCAGTGTGACCAGGATGGCGTTCAGGTGCAAGGCACCAGACTACGGTCAAAAAGTAATTATGGGCATTTAAAAACAGAAAAACCTAGGGAACCGGCATTTAGCGTAATGGCTATGTCACCGGACTCCCATGAAGTTGACCGCGGCTCGCATCCCGGACCTGGTCGCTTAAAACTCACGCCGGGCGCATGTGCGTACGCGCTCAAGATCCCAAGAGGAGAATGGAGGAGAAGGGATTGTAGCGTGACCATCTCCCCTGGGGGGTGATTTCTTGCTTTCTGTCTTTATGTCTCTCTCTGTCTGTCTGGCAAGTGCACGTGCCCTATAGCGAAAATCTCTCAAAAAAAAATATAAATAAATAAAATAAAAATAGAAAAATCTCTCAAAGACTATAGAAGTAAATCCCTGGGAAAAGTAAATAGGGTATAATGTTCATCCTTTCGAAATTGAGCGCTAAAGTGAACATCAAGCTTTATGATTACAGTTTTAGTGTTTATTATTGTACCTTGACTGTAATCCCTAGTAAGCTCAATTATCCAATTCCATTCTGAAAGCAAAAATCTTTCTAGGTATTTCCATAAAAATCACTTTATTGTATGTGCTATTATGAGAATTACTCCACAACAAAACTCTTGCTACTGAGGTAAGGGGAAGGGATGAGGCAGGGGAAAAGATTTAAAAAAAAAAAAAAAAGGCACCAATAATAATACCACTTTATTTTCTCTCACTATTTTTTTTTAAAGGTTTTTGCTATAGGGCGTGTGTGCTCACCAGAAAGACGGAGAGAGACAGAGACAGAAAGCGAGAAATCACCACCCAGGGGGGGATGGCCACGCCACAATCCCTTCTCCTCCATACTCCTCTCAGGATCTTGGGCACGCACGCACACGCGCCCAGAATGAGTTTAAGCCACCAGATCTGGGATGCGAACCGTGGTCGACTACATGGGAGTCCAGTGACATAGCCATTACGCTAACTGCTGGTCCCTCTCACTTTAAAAAAAAATAAAAAATTATTTTAACTTTATTTATTATTATTTTTTAATTTGACCAGAGAGAGAGAGAGCGAGAAAGGGAAAGTGAGAAAGCAAGCCATCAGGCCCGGGACTTGAACAGCAGTTGGCCATTTGGGAGTCTGGCACCTTCAACACCAGGCCACCTGCTGCCCCAATTTATTCCCACTCTTTCTGCCCTAAAGTAGCACACATTGTGTGATGAGAATACTCCTGTCCCACGATCCAAAGAGCACAGGTGACAGTAACAAAGCCACCAGGTCCTGACACAGACATGGGAGCTTCCCTGCCGTGGGGAGATGGCCGTGCTGGCTGGGAGTCACTGCACCCCTGCACTGGCCCTGTCCTGAGCCAGACAAAGAGGCAGCTCTGCCCCCTGACAGGGCCGGCACCTGTGACACGGTGTCGCCGGCGGCTCCTTCCGTGGGAATGCTATCTATTCAAACACTCCGTATCCAAAAACAGGCCCAGGAGCACGGCCACGGCCGGCCAGGAACACGCGTGCTGAAACGTGATTGGGTCTCAGACATGTGGTAACCCAAGCGATCTCTTCTTCGAGTGTTGCACAAACTAGTCACGACAACTAGCTTTTGTATGACATTTATATTTTCCCAGTTACATGGGCGGAGTTTTAGCTTCGCATCGGTGTTTCTTCCACAGAAGGTAACTGTGGACAACGTGCTTCGACCTGGCTGTTAATATTTCCGACGACAGGTAAAGGGGGCAGGGCAAATCGAACGTCAAAAATAAAAGCCGGCGGTCAGGGCAAGGTTCCGCAGTAAAAAGCTCTGTTGGGATGCCTAAAAGCTCTGTTGGGATGCATCTAATCAGGGTGTGACACCCCAGAGTGTGACCTTCAGAGGGGTTTACAAAGGAAGGTGTCTCATCCGTGCTCTGAGCTGAAAACATCAGTCCAGGACTAACAGGCATGGCGCTATCTCCACGGCCCCACCGTGCCTCACCAAGGGGCACTGGCCAGTCCAAACGGCCGGCAGCACCTGCAGGGCACACGGCGCCATGGGGCTGGCATCAGAGGCACAGCACAAGAGGCTGTGTACTGACCCGCAGAGCTGGAGGCCCCTGGACAGCATGGGCCCAGACACGAGGGGCCTGAACACGCAGGCTCAGGCCCGACCTCGGGGTCACGGCGGGACGAGGCCCTGGTGAGGCACCTCGCCTTCTCCCCCTCGTTCTCTCTCTCCCTCTCTCAGTGAAATGAACTTACAAAACAGAAACGCTTCAGGTAACCTGTAGATAATATATTATCATAAAGAGGCAAAATTAAGAGGAGCCCTCTCGCCCTGCGGAAGGTGATCGGAGTGAGAACTCACCACGATTCTGGCCAGGATGCCGTCCTCACTGGCGTCCAAGGTGACCACGGCCTTGTCGGTCTCGATTTCACACAGCGCATCGCCCGCGCTCACAGCATCGCCTGGAAAAGACGGGGTCGTTGTGTTTTTACATGAGTACTGACGTGTGCAGAGTGTGACTAATGCCCACACACGGCTGGCCATGACAGGTCCCACTGCCCGCACACATGTCTGTCAGTACACGCGTGTGCACTGTCATCCTTTTGAAAGCTCTGTGTGTTACATCTGTTACCAAGGGAACTTACAGGGACCAGCAGATGATGGACCGGCTATGTCGCTGGACTCCCACATGGTCAACTGTAGGTCGAGTCCTGGACCTCAAGGCTTGAAACTCACACCGGGCGCGTGTGCGTGCCCAAGATCCCGAGAGGAGAATGGAGGAGAAGGGAGTGCGGTGTGACCATCCCCCCTGGGGGGTGATTTTAATAACTGGACCAGAAAGAACTCATTTAGTGCAAATGGTAACAATTTTAAAATAGTATCCTGAAGATGTTCAAAAATATAAATGAGGTAAAAAAGCCATGACGGAAACACAAAATTCAAACAGTAAAGAATCGGACAAAATAGTATCAGGTAGAAATATTAGAAATGAAAACTGAATCAGTGAATAAGAAACAATGGAATAATGTGAAAAGATGAACTGACAAACAGAAAAGAGGCACGAAGAGCGGCCGAGGACTCGGACACAGGCAGCAGAAAGGTAAAAGGGGAAGGGCGAGGGAGGGGCTTGGACTGAGCCGGGGAGAGCCGGGGACGGCTCAGAGGACCCACGGACAGGTGCCTGCTGGGCGGCTCCCAGAACCAGGAGCAGGAGCAGGAGCAGGAGGAGCACGCCGCCCCTGTGGGCGGGTCTGAGGAGTTTAGGATGTGAGCACTGACTGTGAGGGGCAGAGGACGACGTCATGGCTTGCCAGGAATGCTCTGAACCTTGACCTGGGTGTTCGTAATACAGATATACAACTATTAATGCACAAATATTAATGCATACATAAATGAGCTTATACCTTACGCAAACTATACCCTGATGGAAAATGTAACAAAAAGAGAATATTAGACTGTGTAAACATGAATCACATTACATCGTGAAACTGCAAATCATTAACAATTAAAAACACATCCCTAAGCACTACTGAAGGAAAAAAAAACCAGATTATTCAGTGGAAGGACAGACTGAGAGCATGTTTCTTAGCAGCTGTGATAAAAGGTAGAGCGCAATGAAATAATCTTCAAAAAGCTGAGAAAAATAACTCCCTAGAATTTTATATGCAGCCAAACCATCATTCAAGAAGGAAGGAAAGTATTCTTTAGACATAGGAAGGCTAAGAAAATTTACCACCTATAGGCAATCATTGAAAATAAAAGTCCTACATGACACAGTTTAGAAGAGTGAACACAGAGAGGACTCATAGGATATATAAAACAAGTTACCACAGAAATTGCTACAGTGATAATGATTAACCACTTACAGGGAATATTGAAGGGTTTTTAAAAGTATAAAGCTTAAAGTCTGAAAAATAAAGGGATGTTTAGGTGGTAGCTAAAGCTTCCTAACAACTTTGATATAGTTAGAAGGGAAAAATACTGAGTAACTCTAGACTTTACTAGAAAAATTAAGAAAGCAGAAAAAATAGAAAATAACATTCAAGAAAGCAGAGAAAAATAGAAAATAACAAAAATGATGAAGGAAGACATGTGAAAAGAAAATAGCAGAAAATAAAATTAGAAATACAAAAGGAAGAGTAGAAATAAATCCAAGTGTACCAATTATCACAACGAATATAAATGGATCAAAATCGGCTGCTAAAAGTAGAGTATCAAAATGAGTACAAAAATAAAAGCTGCATAAATATAGATTACAAGAGACAGAACAAAAGCTAAAACAGAATAAAAACAGACAGAAAAAAATACACCTCCTCCCACCAAAAACATGGAATATTAACATGTGAATACAATGAAGAGAATGTGTAAAAAATATACTCTGAAAATTCACTGTACAGAAACTAGTTCATTATATATCAGGAATTTCAAGAAGACAGTTATATTATACCCTCAGTTAAAATAATTCAGAGCCACTAGTATGTTATTTTAATGAAATAAACTTATTCAATAGATGACACTTATCAATGACCTAAAAGGTCTCTTTTTAAACATCTCTAGTGATCAAATATTTACTAAAAATACATTGGGGCACTAAGGATTCAGTAGTGAAAACGATAATTTAAGAATTCTGACTCAGGGGGCTGGCAGGTGGCATGGTGGTTACGGTGCTGGACTCCCACACGGCTGACCACAGTTTGAGTCCTGGACCTGGTGACTTGCTTTCTCACGCACACGCGCCCGGCGTGAGCTTTAAGCCACAAGGTCTGGGACACGAACCGCGGTCGACTACATGGGAGTCCAGCGACATAACCATTACACTAACTGCAGGGAGTTTCTTAGGGTGACAGAGCTGTTCTAATGCCAGGCCGTGGCGACGGTTCACAGCCTCACACGTTTACTAAAGACCACGATCACTGGGCCTGTGCTAAACCAGGTGAGTGCTGGGGAGGCCACCCTCCACCATGAGGCTGTGGCGACAGCGTGCAGGCCTGGAACGCAGCTGTCTGAGAGCGTACCTCCCAGCATGCCTGCTCAGCGCCACGGACATTCCTGTAGGATTTCCAGAAATGAAACTGAAGCCCTTCCTGCAAAAGAACCCAGAGACCTGTACCCTCTCTAGCAGAGCCTAGTGACACAGGAGAAACCTTCCTTCCAAACCGTTTCACGGGCTGGCCAGTGGCATGGTGTTTAAGGCTGGCTGCAGAGTTCGCATCTCAGACCCAGCTCCTGGAGGGGCACTCCGGGACCATGCACGTGCGTGCCAGGGCCCCAGGTGGAGAGTGGAGAAGGGACGACAGTGTGGCCACCCCTCCCTCTCGATGAGGCTGTCACCCTTGGGGCCTGCCTTTTTACTTGCCCTCCCTCTTTTTTTCTCTCTCCCCCTGGCAAGTGCACAAGACCTGTAGCAAACGAACGAGCACACACACACACCGACACACACACACACACCCCAAAAAGATACAGAATTACAGCTCAATTCACCTTTGAAGAAAGCCTGAAGCTGTGGGAGGATCTAGCGGTCAGAGTGTACTAACGCTTTGGTCCCCTTTTCATTTAATCATCACAAGGAAATTAAGTGGTCAGTTCATCCTCATAAAACTCTTTTTCTAAGCCTTCTAAGATCAATAAACCTAAGAATAATTTAAATATTATGATATGTTTCTGTGGTTTAAAAAGGGAAAATGAAAACGAGCCATCGCACATTCTGAAGCCAGAGTACACCTCAGACCCCGCCTAGGCCAGCTCGTTCCTAGCAGTGCCCGGCAGAGTGAGGACCCAGGACACGCTGGCCCTGAGCCGGCCGCTGGCCCTGTGCACACACAGTTACAGCCTCCAAGTGTCATAAGACTGAACTGCTACCCACTGACAGTTAGGGCACAGCGCCCAGCCTCCGTGGCCCGTGCTGGGCGCTGTGGCACGCCCCCCGCTCCGGCCTGCACAACTCTAAGAACCCTAACAGGTACTGGAGTCTGCCAGATCGGCGCTTCTGCACACGGCCTGCACAGCTTGGCAGGGGCTCCGCTGCAAGTACCTGCAGCAGCACCAGCAGCCAGGCTCCCTGGCACTCCGAGCCGAGCAGAGCCGCTCTGGCCTGCAATGACAAACCACGTGCACTTTCACAGGGAACGCAAACACCTGCACGAGCTGTGCACGAGCATACAGCCACAAGCACCTGCCCAAGCGTCCTGACTGCCAGCCTCTGCTCACTCACCCCACCCCAACCCTGCGCCAGGGTACCTGGACGCCGACCCCGGACAAACTGCCATTTTACCCAGAGCAGATATTTCAACAGCTATTTAAAAAATAGAACCATAACATCATTAAACCTCAAAACCCACGCTTCCCGGATACACCAGTCCCAGCTAGGTTTCGGTCCATATGGGCTATGTGTTCCGTCCGACCCAGAGCAGACTGGGTGGCTCGTTGCCTGGGGCGCTGGTGTGGCCGGGCTCCTGTGCCCTTGGAGAAAGGGCGGGAGCTGCCGCTGGATCTCCACCCTCTACTTCCCCGGAGCCGGGCCTGAGCAGTCAGCTGTCTCCCGGCAAGCCCGCTTCACATGAGGTGGGCATCCGAATGCCAGGGAGTAGCAATACCTGGTTTTCTCCTCCCGTGGGGTGAGCAGTCCTCAGTACACAACCCCCGGCCACTGCTCTGCCGGACAGCCCGGAGCGGGCTCCGCGATGCTTCCATCTGGTAGCCAGACACGGCAGCAGTGCGCTCCCATCGATGTCTTCGTGACCCCGAGCCGGCCCACACAGGAGAGGCCGGGGAAGATGCGTCTCCCAGTTATCACCAGTTTCAAAGGGAGTCAGTGTCCTAGCACCCTCTAAGGCTGACCAATTAGGAGCAGCTTTATTTTCTTGGGCTAAAGAGTGAGCGTAAACGTGCCTTTCCAGGTCCTGCCTGGCGCCCTGCACCCCCACCTACCCCAGACGCCTGACAGCTGTGTGCCTGTGACTGACAGGGGACCCGCTAGCGCAGTGTAGGACTTCTCTGCGTGTTTCTTATCAATGGAAAGGTCAAGCATCTTCTTCTATATTTAAGAGCTATCAGCATGGCCAACAGGTGGTGTAGTGGTTAAGGCAAGGGCCAGGGTCCCACATGGCATACTAACAGGTTCGAGTCCCAACGCCAGTGACTTGAAAAATGCGCCAAGTGTGTGTGCATGTGTGCCCACGTGCACGGTGGCCACCCCCATGGGTGATTTCTTACTCTCCCTCCCTCCCTGCCTCTCGTCTCTCTCCAGCAAGTGCCCACACCCTACAACAAATCCAAAAAGGATAAAACACAAAAATGGAGGTGCCCGCTCACCGCCTTGCCGATTCCTGCCTGAGCCGGCAGTGCCGTGGCGGCCGTCGGGGACCTCAGCCCTGGCGCTGTGGCGGCACACGCCCTTCCCAGCTGCTGCGTCCCTGCCCTTGCTCCCCGCGTCCCCCGTGTGTCGGCGTCGGCACTGCTCTTGCAGCGTCTGGCTCTGAGTTACAGTTAGGGCGTCGATCCCACTTCCGGGTGCAGAGGAACTCACCGTTTTCCCTAAGACCAACGTGGCTTCATCTCTGTACGTCAGCTGACTGACTCACCTGTACCTGCCCAGAGCCACCATGACCGCATCCGTCCTCCCGTTTTCTACTCAGTCTGCCTTCTAAGCACCAACCAGTCTCAGAGGCTTAACAATACGTTTCAACAACTGGACGAAAACCCTCTTCCATAGTCTTCTTTTGAGGTTTTCTTACTCCTCTGCTTATTTGCTCTTTCCAATGGTAGTCATCATCGATCTGCCCAACTCCAAGGGAGACGCGCAAGCACAGCATCGCCACAGTTAGAAACCGTGGGGGCTGGCAGTCTCTGCCTTTGAAAATACAAGCTAGAGCAATGGCCGAGTGCGGGAAAAGCCGTAAAGTACTGGCAAAACACGTCTGTGCTGACGACAAGACCCAGCGGGCCCAACCGTCTAGGCCAACAGCCAGGGGTCGGGTTCACTGAGGCGGACGCTGCCAGCCCGCACCGGGGCACGGCCTAGCGCCCCACTCACCTTCCTTCTTCAGCCACTTGACAATGTTCCCTTCCTCCATGGTCGGGGACAGCGACGGCATCAGGATCTTCACAGGATCGGCTGTAACGGAGAAAGGGGGGTCAGCCACTCATGCACACGGCAAAACCCTCCTTGGGCCTCGCCGTCAGCTCGAGACAATCACCACCGTCTACTCTGAGGTGCCCAGCCAGTGGATTAAGTGACCAGTACGCAGTATAAAAACATACAACTCAGCCTTTTACAGAATAAAACTATTCTAGCTCCTTTTTATAGTGTGTCGTTGGAAAAGGCAGACGCGTTCTGCACAGGAACTAAAGCCCGGGGCCCCGGCGGCCCAGGTCCCCAGATCTCCATGTACGTCCAAGCCGGACACTTCAAAGTTTAAAACACAAAATGAAAAAAAGAGAATGTTATGTGAGCTTCGCTTCCTTTTCCTCCTCCTCTCTAAAACACAATATTTAGGTTTATTTACTTAGAGGGAGGGAGAGTGAGCCAGATGGCCCCAGCAGGGCCCCGCACCGTCTACTCTAGCCCCAGCCGGCCACAAGAAGGCCCCAGAGTGCGAACTGCGCCTGGCCGTGGGACTCTGTGAGCCACTGCTGCACGCTGTCGGGCCTCGGGAGAAGCTTGCGCAGGCAAAGTGACCCACCTGAGAGGCAAGTAGAACAGAGCCACAGCAAGCCGGCCCTGACGGCGGGACACCCGTCCAGGTTTGACGAGCGAGTAGAAGAGAGCCACAGCAAGCGGGCCCCAACGGCGGGGCACCCATCCAGGTTCGGCCAGGAAGCTGGATGCCACGTGCCCTCCAAAATCACCCTACTCAGGACACAAAGGCTCCGCTGGGAGCAAGCAAGGAAGAGTCCACCCGGGCCGGGGCGGTCAGACGTGGTCCCACACCCTAATGCTACTGGTGACCAAGAAGGTAGACTTCAGGGCAGCCAACTACCTGAACCACGGCGCTTCCTACGTGGGCCACTGCGCCCTCTAACAAACCCAGCTAGTCTTCGTGCAGTTTCCACAGGAGTCAGAGAGCCTCACTCGGTGTCATCGACATGGGGCAAGAGCGGCCTTAGCTGCAGAAATGCCGCCCATCGGCTCCTACCGAAGCTCTGCCTCATCCAGAACTGCTATCAAAACCGGGGTGCCCCTCGGGCGTGTGTGCGTGCGTGCCCAAGATCCCGAGAGGAGAACGGAAGAGAAGGGATTGCGACGTGGCCATCCCCCTGGGGGTGATTTCCCGCTTTCTGTCTCTCTGTCTCTCTGGCGACCACAAGCGCCCTATAGTAAAAACCTCTCCAAAACAAAACAAAAACGAAAACAAACAAACAAAAGCACAGAGGTGCCCCTGGAAACGAGCAGGCGACAGACGGCACTGTTCTCCAGATCCAGACACACCTCACTCCCACACATACGCTCGGACTCTCCTCACATCACGCAGGTGCACACGTGCACGCGCCTGCCATGCGCCCACCTGTTGTCCTCGGCTTGGCGTAGAGGACTGCAGGGAAGAACGCCAACAAGGGTGACAGCGAACACCAAGGGCCCCGAGTCCTGCTGACCAACAGGCGGTACAAGGCGGGGTAATGGGAGCTAGGACGGCGTCTCCCACCCAATATCAGCCTTACTGAGTCTCAGGCTGCTACCTCCATTTCCAAAGCAAGGCAAAAATTCAGAATTTTTCATGTAAAATCTCCTAGTTTTACATGCCAATAAGCTTGATTTCCTGCTAAAATGACGTGGGTCAGTTCACTGGCTACCGACCTGCAACCCTGCTGAAGACCGGGGTGTCCCGCTGCAACCTTCTGGACTTCCAATGTCTTCAGATAAGTTTACTTACTATCTGGAATAGGCAAGGCCTGCAGTTATATAGTCAGCAAGCCGTTACCAAGATTTATTATTTATTCATTTATTTTTCAACTTTAAAAATAAATGAGTAAAGGGCCAGCAGGTGGCATGGTGGTTAAGGGCACTGGACTCCCACATGGCCGACCATGGTTTGGGCCCCAAACCTGGCAGCTTGCTTTCTCACTTTCCCCCTCTCTCTCACTCTGGCCCTCTCTGGTCAAATTAAAAATAAATAAAGTTAAGTAAAATAGTTATTTAAAATAAATAAATAACAGCAAATTAAAGACAGTACAGGAGAAGGGTGGGCAATGGGGGGGGGGGCGCTGGGGGCTCAGGGGGGAAAAGGGGGGGCGAGGGGGGGGGGGGCGTTAGGGGATCAAGGGAGGAAAAGGCAAAACATTTAATGGACCCAGAAATGGAAAACTGTCTGCTGATAAGAACGTCTGTGACAGGATCTTCGACGAGACGGACATGCAGCATGTTCCAGGTGCCAACACTCATTCTGTCTGCTGTAAACACGTGGTGATTAAACACATATAAAAAAGAACCTCTTTCATTTTTCTATTCAGGTTATTTGAAACTCTGCATATTATTCTTTAGAGACAAAACTAACATAACTAATTAACATTAGGCATTAAATTCCAAATTATGCCCCTCCGGGGACTGGGCCTGTGGCCTGTGGCTTTCACCTTGCCAGGGCTGCTACCTCCCTGCAGGAAGTCTTCACACACCACTTCCTTGTCACCTGAATGACCCCGAGAGCTCGCTCCACACGCCTGAGGCCTGCCATCGCTGTTCCCCCAGGCGGACTCCAGACAGCCGAGGACAGGCCTATAGGGACTGCGTGTCCAGAAGCTAATGCAAATAACCCGGCCTCGGGCGGTCCTGAGAACGCGTGCTTTCTGGTGGGCAGGCTGCCATGCGCCTGGCATCTCTCCACCTGTTTCCAATAATGCCATGGGTCAACACCAAAATTCTTCCTACTCAACAACGTCTTAAAGGCAAATTAGGGATTTTGGAAACATGATTATAAAGAACTCCTCAGTTCACCAACATTACAGCCCTGTGCCTTTGGGTCCCGCTGGATCTCTGAGCCTCGGTCTTCTCGTCCAGTAAATATGGGGTGCCAGCCCTGGTTGTGCAGAGCCAGTAAGGAACTCGAGGAAGAGCCGCGAGCACGGCACAGCCCCGAAAGAGTCCCAAACTCCACGGGCATTTCCAGCTGACAGACTAGAGCCCTGGATGGAGATATGAAAGGGAACCAGTTCAGAGAACATGATCAAGCCAGAGTCTACGCAACGCAAAGAGTTGCTTAGTTTCTACCAAGTTCAGACAAAAAGTGGCTCTGTAAGGACAGACATCACCGCCACCCAGTGCTTGTAGAACAGGTAAGGATGGTCATGTGCATTCAGCATGGCAAATAAAATGTGGGCAAAACAGGAAATAAGTTTTGGCTTGGTAGAAGGAAAAAGGTCGACATTTCCAAGTAACTTAGAGCTACCAAGAACAGCTTCATGGGGAGAATTCCTCCCCTTCCCCCAAAGAGACCCATATACCGATACCCAGATACGATGAGAAGAGGTTAAGGCTGAAGATGAAATCAAGTCATTCATGGGCTGACCTTTGGATGGCGAGGGAGTCCTGATGGCACGAGGGACCGTGGGATCCCAAAGGCCTCTGTGAGCAGGAGAGAAGTAGGAAAAGTGCTGACAGGACAGCTGGACCAGCCATGGCTCGCACTGAGGTGGGGACAGCCATGAGCCAAGGAGCCCAGGAAGCCTTGAGGAGCTGGAGAGGCGAGGACAGATTCTCCCCCTGCGCCCCCAGAAGACAGCCCATGCTGACATCTTGGCCCTAGCCTGGTAGGTTGCACTCCGGGCTCTGCACTCCGACCTGAGACAACGGGGGCTCCTGGCCATCTGTGGCAGCGCCAAGGGGGAGCCGGTCTGCCTCCGGAGACTGCAGGGCCCTCCCACTAAAGGCGATGCTCAGACAAGCTGTCATGGCGTGTTTATGGGGCAATGGGAAGGAGTCAAAACCTTGTGGGGCTTCCAGTGAGGACTGCCCAGGGCGCTGAGGGCCAGCACTCCTCTGCTGGACGAGGAAGACCCCAAAGGGCACATGAATTTCTGGGTCACCATGGCCACCCTTTCTCTGCATAGAGGGTCTGGAACACTTCCAGAGATGCTCAAAAGCGTGTTTTACAAACGAGGTTAAGAACATGCTTGGCCCCATTGCACAATGGTTAGCACGGGGAGCCAGACCCCACCTAAAGAACACAGTTTGAATGTCCTGAACACCACGCCAGGCACTGCGGCTGCGTGCTCCTAATCTCTCACCCTCTTTCTGGCTAGCACGTGAGCCCTCTGGCAATTGAAGGAACAAAGCTAAACATGCTTCCTAGATCATCTCCAATACCAAGCTTTCTCTGCCACTGTCCAGCCAGCATCAAAACAAATCACCGCAACTCATCGAAGGCTGTTTGCAGACATCTGGACAGAACCTCTGGGAGCTGCAGGCACTATAACAAACCAGGGGGAGGGGAGACTCTGCTTGTTTTAGGGAACACTGCACTGTGGAAGCTGCAGCGGCTCCCAGCCCTGAATCTTTAGAAACCTCAAAACACTCGTGTTAGTGTAGGAATGCATGAGCTGCTTTCCTGCGCCTGCTAGGCAGTACCTACTCACCTAAGAGATTTTAAGCTCACCTCTTCCATGGGCGAGAGAGATACAGCAAACGACTCCAAGCCCCAGCCAGCCCCAGGCCAGGGCAACAGACGCCGGATGCTGGGGAGGGACCCGCGCACCACCGGCCTTCCCTGAGGCTCAGCCTCGCAGACCCAGGTTCGCGGCCCTCCGGCCCTGCTGCACCGAACGTTTTAGAAGAAATCCACTCGGTGCAGGGCCAGGTGCCTGGCAGGTCAAACGTCAAACTGCAGTGTTAAGTCTTATTTTCTGCCCCTTTTCCCCATCCCAAGGAATGAGAAATGAGGTCTGGCATGCCATTTTACAGTTACACACCGCGAGAGCTGTGTTAACTGTGTCGGAATCATCAAAAACGACAAAATTCAGTCACAACCTCGGCGCGATTCCCTCGCACGGGGTCACTTTCAAGCGCGTCTCCGCAGACTCTCCCGGACCTCGGTCTGCGATGCTTTATGAGCACTGCGTGGGGCACCCGAGTGGCTCGGCCGCTCCTCTCCGTAGAAGTGCCGCAGCCCCGCAGAAACGCGAGACCTGGCCGGGAAGGGCCCGAGGGAAGAAACGCGGAACCTCGCTGGCCCTCACGAATAACCCAAATTCCCAGGCAAGGTCACAGAGAAGCCGCCAGACCGGGGCCAGCGACGGAGGCGGCCCATTGCGGCATGCAGTAGCCAGGTCAGCGGACTAGAGTCCAAGCCAGGAGGAAGGCAGTGGGGCGCCCGGGCACCTCGCTTGCAGACGCAGGGCCTCATGGAGAAGGCCCCGGACAGCCCCAGCGCGCAGCTGCCCAAGACACCGAGCAGCCCCGCCACTCACCCTGCAGCCATGGCGTGCCATGAAACCATCTCCAACGGGCTGCACGGACGCCAGACCACCCGGCAGGTCCCTGAACCGGCCCCAGGCTCCGGCGGACAGCGAAGCTCAGGAGGCAGCGCAGCGGCCGCGGGTCAC